TAAGGAAACTGGAACTCAATCAGATTTTTTAAATGATGTAAGCAGACGCAGTGGCACACACCTGTAATCCCAGCAACTCCTGAGTTGCTGAGGCACAAGGATCTTGAGTTCAAAGACAGCCTCAGCAGATTAGCGAGGCACTCAGCAACTCAGCATCTCTCTAAATAAAATACAAGAAGGGGCTGGAGAGGTAACTCAGTGGTTAAGCATCCCCGAGTTCAATCCCTGGTACTAAAAAAAAAAAAAAAGATGCAAACATTTTGTGAAACAGTTTCGAAGTTCATTACAATGCTAAGCACAGAATAACCCTGTGACTCAGCAATCCCACTCCTAGGTATACACCTAACAAAAATGAAAACATGTTCACAAAAAACACATACACAAATGTTCACAGCAACATTATTTATAATAGATAAAAACAGGAAAAGACCCAAATGTCCATCAACTGATGAGCATGCATTACCATACAATGTGAGTACAAAATGTGTATAACCGTACAATGACATCAATTAGCAAGAAACAAGAAGGAAGTACCAAAACATTCTACATGAATGAACCCTGAAAACATTATATTAAATGAAAGAAGCCAGTACTGTATGATTCCATTCAAATGAAATGAACAAAAGACAAAAATCCATGGAAATAAGAACAATAAATTTTTGCCAACAGCTGGGTGGAGGCAGTAATGTGGAGTGAATGCTGTTGGGCACGGGGGTTTCTCTCCATGGTGATGAAAATGTTCTGGAATTAAATAATGATGATGACTGCAGCACTCTATTAAGTATCTTTAAAACCACCGAGTTGTTTACTTTACAAGGGTAAGTGTTATGCTGCATGAATTAGCCCTTAAAAAAAAAAAAAAGAGATAATCCTGTGTGACACTGAGGTAGAGACAGCTTCAGCTTTCCAATATCCATTCCTTGTGTGCTCACTGACAAGAAAGGATTAAAAGCTCTAAATTTGAACAAATGGAGTGCTTCTGTTTTCTCATGGTTGTTATCTATATATCCTTAACTTTTTCTTTTTTTGGTGTGTGTGGGGGGGGGTCCTTTAAAAATATTGAGGCAAATGAATTTTTCCTTTTGAATGCCTTACAGAGAAATAAATGCAAGCAAACATACCAGTAAAAGAAAAGCATAGCTCTTTTGAGCTCAGAAAACAAGCATTTCTGAGAACACATCAAAAGAAAGTTAGAGATGGAGTCTCAAGCCCAATAAATAATAAGAAAGACCAAAAACCATATAGCTAATAGAGCCCTTAAAATGAGATTTTACATATAAAATGTTCAGGATTCATAAATAGCACTTTCTACAAATATTAAACATTGCATTCAACATAGCTGTCTTATAGGAGACCTGAAGTAACTCACTGTCAAGTCCAAATACTGGATGAGAAAAGAGGATCAAGTTATGATTTTCATCCAGATTATAAAAACAGAAAAATTCGAGCAATTATTCCAAAACAACACTTCGCTCACTCATACCCATCAATCAATACTCTTTCAGTTACAAACAGGAAAAAACAACTCAGAAGCAGTTGTTTGAAACAAGATGGAAATGCCTCTGGAAGACTAGAGGGGTTCCAAATTGCCTCCGGGATTGCCCAGGTTACATTCATGGTTAACATCATCAGCTATTTCTTTCTTGTGGATTTAAGATGGCAATCTGTAGTCCTGGGTTTACTAGTTTCTTTGTACTTACTTAGAAGAATGGATGTCCCTTTACCCAAAGTCCTTTCCTTCAGGTTGACTAAACTTAGATCATATGTCCATTCCAGAGTCAATAACTACACTAAGGGAATTCCACGTACAGATTGGCTTTGACTGGGGATCCTGAATCAATCATTGGCAAGCACAGAATTATCATGATTAGCTTACACCAATGATTTTTCTTTTTAAACTGAAAGCCACAATAAGAAACAGTCATGCACTGCTTAATGATGGAGATACACTCTAAGAAATGCTGTTAAGTGATTTCATTGTTGTGTGAATATCACAGAATGTATTTACACAAACTAAGACAGCTACAATGTCACTACAATCTTATGAGACCACCATTGTAAATGAAATTGGTCACTAATCAAAATATTGTTATGCAGTACATAACAGTTATAAGACTCGACACACACACACACACAGGCATAGAAGTGCACATTCTGGGGGCTGTGGTTGTGGCTCAATGGTAAAGTATTTGCCTAGCACGTGCAAGGCCCTGGGTTCAATCCTCAGCACCACATGAAAAATAAAGGTATTGTGTCCAACTACAACTAAAAACTTAATATTTTAAAAAAAAGAAGTGCATATTCTGTGAAACAACACTTATCCTTGTGATACTTAACACATCAAAATGAACTCTGATACATTTTTAATATTACTTATTTAAAAAGTTAGTTGCCACTTAATAAATTGATTTAATGATCCTTTAATAGGTTGTATCCATTTGAACTGACTGGCTCAGCTGATAAAACCTTACACATGAGGCGAGGGTCAAAGTCAAAAACCGGAATGCTGCTGCACAATGAAGAAAAACGGCTAGGGCTGAGGCATAGCTCAGTGGTAAAGTGCTTGCCTCGCATGTATGAGGCATTGGGCTCAATCCTCAGCACCACGTAAAAATACATAAGGATACTGTGTGTTCATCTACAACTAAATAAATATTTTTTAAAAAAAGGACAAGGCTAAATAATTTTTCCAGAATTAAACTTATTTAATTACATCAAAACTTATCCATTACATCACCCACAGTGCAATCTTGCATATGTTATCTTATTGGATCTTACAAAAATATTACTGAAAATTCTAAGTCATGTACACATAACAAAATGGAGTTTTGTCTTCTTATTTTATTTATTCAATTAAAACCAGCCATCCTACATGTGAGGCAAGTGCTCTACCACTGAGTTACATCCCCAACCCTTGTCTTCTCATTTTAAAATATTTAAAAATTTCTGGAGCCAGGTGCAGTAGTTTGCTCCTGTACTTCCAGCTAGCCAGTACAAACTAGGACAATCACTTAAGCCCAGGAGATCAAGACAAGCCTGAGTAACATAGCAAGCTCCATCCTCCCCACAGTCACCCCCCAAAGAAAGCAACAACAATAAAACTCTAAGATAGAGAGGTTATATTCAGAAACGGTTCACATGGACCAATTTCCCACAAAGGATTTACAGGTATAGCCATCAGATATCATTCCAAAGGATAATCAGAAGAGTAAGTTTTGAAAGAAGGCCAAAGAGATACAATTCTCTTTGGTTCTCAAACACAGGTGATCTTGGGCAATAGTCTATAGACATTTTTAGTTATCACAGCTGGAGAGAAAAAAAAGCCAAGCACTTACTAGGTAGAAGCCAGGGATGTTGCTAAACACGTTACAATACACAAGAGAGGCTGCCATGCACAAATAATTATCTGACATAAAATATTAGCAGAGCCAGAAATGAGTAACTATTACCACCAAAGGTCATTAGCTCATCTCAAGTCCAAATACCACTTTGCAATATAAGAGAATAAGATAAACCTGGACTGTATGTTCTAGTGTTAGAAGCCAAGTTTCACAAGTGAGAGAGAGTAAGGATGAAGCAGAGTCCCCTGTGTTCAGAGTGATAATCATTCTGCATTCCAAAGATAAAATTATCTCACTTGATTGTGGGATTGATTTCTTTTTTACTTCACTATATAATGCAATGCTTTAACAGGAAAGAGTTATCAATGTACATTTGAAGCTTTTGAGTCACAGTCATGAGAATTAGCACAGTACAATAACTGTGACCACAATACAGTTTCTGGATATCAAGTAAGAAAAATAAAGAAGAAATTTCTTTCAAGGACCCCACGACAACACACTGGAATAAAAGCAGAAGGCTTTATTCCCCTACTCAATGGATACAGTCTTTCTAGTATTTGGATACAGTCTTTCTAGTATTTCTTATTTTTTTCTAGATCCTTCATGCTGTTCTCTTCCTGAATAGAATATAAATAATTTTCATCACTCCAGGCATCCAACAGCCTTTCTTGTCTCTATTGCTAAAAAGCAATAGTACAGACCAGAGAAGTCAAAGTGGCTTTATGAAGGAGTTGACACTTGCATGGAATACTGAAAATATGACTACAATCATGGTGTAGAAAGGAGGATATATGCCTTCCAAAGGACAAGAACTAAAGCATGGCACTGAGAATGAGTGTGGCAAACAGAAATACAAAATTAAGGAAAAGTATGTTGAGCTTAATAAGAAACAACTGACATACAAAATGAGCAAGATTACTAATGGCTCTGAACACTAGACTTGGGGAATGTTGTATTTGATGATTTTTCAAGAACACTAATCCTCAATGAATATTTTCATCTGTTCTTTATTCTAGATGTTATCTGCTATGTAAAACTACAACAGCTACCCACACATTTTCTATGGAGTTCCCTCTCTGAACATCGATGCTCTATATTTATCTGTTCAAGCTGGAAAAAAAAAAGAGAGAGAGAGAGAAAGAAATTCTTATAATTAATTCTCTTGCAACCAAGCTAATACTCAATTTAAAAATCAAACTCTATTACCAAAATGACTTTTGTTTCCCAAACTCCATCCTCAAATCAGATTTCAAAATTTCTCTCAACTCCATTTATCTTTTAGTCTATTAGAATATTACATGGGTTCCAAAGATTTAAACTATAGAGTTTTGACAAAATAATTTTTGTTTTATTTTGCAGTAAAGTACCTGGACACTCCAAACACAAAAAGATGATCAATTTTATAATAGAACACTATATATTCTTTTAAGAATCCAACAATTCTTATAACTAACAACCATTAAAAGGCTATATAATTATATTTTATGGTCTTACATGGAACCAGAAGGGATCTTAGAAAGATTCTTAACCCATTTTTTCCCATCACCCCAGATGTGGAATACCTATAAAATTTAAATATAGTATATAACATATAATTAAATAATATATAGTATAATTAAATAATCAAAGTGTAATAATATTGCAATATGATAATTATAATATATTTACACATACAGAAGCTCTACATTATTATTTCCAACCTATTTTAATGCATCTGTGTCAATTTTGTTGAAGTATTCTTAGAATTGAGAACTTGGGACTCAATGAATTAAGTTGGTCTTGAAAAGCAATCTGGCAGTAATTATTAAATGTATTATGTATAGATCCTTTAAAACAGTAATCCCACTTCTGACTGTCATAAAAGTAATGTACCAGTATATGAGGATATGTACAAGGTGCTTACTATGATGTATACAGTGACAAAATGGGAAACAAAGTAAATTGGTAAAGGATCAGTCAAATAAGGGTAAAGCAATTGCATGGCAGAACCCATACATATGGCATGTTACACAGCCATTAATAACTTAGAGCTATTACTGGCTTAGAGGAAGCTCTACTACTTATTAGTTTTTAAGAAAAACAAGATACAGAACGGAATGTGGAATATATTCAGTTTAATAAAACTATAAACAATATATATAACATGTGCATAAAGAAGTGTTTGATAGGCAGACAAAAAAAATTAGGTAAGATCATTATTCAAATACAGGGGAAATATGGAAGGATATATATATATATATGTAATATATATATATATATTACATAGTTATCTTGTAGTAAAATGAAAGAGGGAGTGGGAAATAAGCAAGATATAGAAAGAAAGAAAAATTCAGTTATATAAAAGTCATGTGTACATACAGAAATTAATATTTTAAATACAAATATGAAATAAGAGTTCTTAGAAGCCAGTTTATTCAACTTTCTAGACAATTGAGAAATTCATTTATTCAACACCACTAGAGTGTCTATTTTGTGTAATGAACTAAGAAAAGGGCTGGCATCTCCTTTCCAGTTGCAGACCTAGTCTTCACATACTATGCAAGTTGCTCCATGGTTGGTCCCTATCCAATTGAAAGGGTTGTGGTTCAAGGAAGGCAGAAATTCCTTTGTCACCATTTTGAGAGTCATCAACTCCTGCTGTAACCTTCTCCATAAGGTCCCAGGCAGCAACACCACTGGCTCAGTTTCTTTATGAGCAGTGAAGATACTGGTGGCAGCAGGGTCACAGTTTGGGTAGGCCATCTGGGCGGCTCTGGTAGAGGGACAGGAATTTAAAGAACACAAGGACAACTCAAGTTTACATATATTGAATGCATGTGTACTTTTGTAATTTGTCACATTAGGTCAGGTGTGAGATTTTCTACTTCCAGCATCATATCAATGCTCAAAAAAGTTTCATATTTTGGAGTATTTAGGATTTCAGATTTTTGGATTAAGATGCTCAACCTGTGTATCCACACACTTATATGAAAGAATCATACGCTTCTTTCTTAATGTTTTTAGTTACTAAATCTATAGAGAATGGGCTTTCCAAAAGCCTTGGAAGACTCACAGAGTTTTCATTAAAATAAAAGAGTTCCCAAGGATGGTATCTCAAGCAGATGAACTGTTAACGATGCCCTGAACACCTTTACTATGATTTGTGTCTGTTACTTATGAGTGTATAAAAACATTGTCAGGGCAGTAGCTAGTTTCATTTACACAATGATAAAAGCATCATCAGGAAAACATAGGGAAAGAATATCCACCTTTATCATTTTCAAAAGTGCAGATAAAAACAAAGACTATTTTGTTTAGTTTTTGTTTTCTGGTGCTGGAGATGAACCCAAGGCCTGTACACACTAAGCATATGCTCTACCACTGGGCTACACCTCTAGCCCCACAAAATCTATTTTGAAAAGTCTGTTACAAACACAAACATTGATATAGTCATTCCTTGGAATATTATGCTGGCATTAAATGTGTACAACAGATTTGTCAAATATTTGGATAATGCCAAGCAAAGGAAGCAAAATATAGTTACTTGGTTTTATGTAGTTCATATTTATACTTACATAAAACCAAAACTCAAAAGTTAAACTTCATAAAAAGAGGTCTGGAAGGAAATACACAATAATGTTAATAATAGTTGTCTCCAAGTCTTGTGTCTCTTCTCCTATTTTTCTGTACCTCTTAATTTTTCTATGGTATTTTTTTTAAATGGGGAAAATAGCTTTTAAATATAGGTAAGCCAATTTATCTTTGATATGGGAAGAATACTTTTTCTCCAGTGTTCAACTGCTTTGAGGAAAGAATGTAATTTAGTTAACAGTAACACAAACCTTTCATAAAGAGAGAGAATGGGAGGGAGTGTGACTCAGTGGGAGAGTGCTTGTCTAGTATGTGCAAATCCCTGGGTTCATCTATAGCACCACTAACCCCTTTAAATTGAAATTTAAAGTTGCAATTACCAATAGAAAGAAACAGACTTCTTCTCTATTTCTTAATTACTTCTTGTGAAGAAGTGACAACTTTTAGTTCAAGCTACTCTTTTCTCTGACCTCTGTTAATCAAATCTAAAACAGAAACAATTTATTACAGTTATGCTTTAAAGATTAACTTTTTAAAAGTAACTCGTGTTTTCAACTTTGGTTAAAATTTACTTGTAAAAATAGTTAAAAGGGAAGGAAAGGAAAAGAAGGAAAAAAGGGAAAGGAAAGACAGACTGTCAATAAGCACATTCACATTCAATCCTGCTACCTCATTGTAATGATGACTATGAAAGACCCTAGCCCAGTTAGCCCAGTTACGTAAGGCCAAGATATGAAACCAAGATACCAGGCACCAGGCATGCTCTCGGGACAACCGGTTGAAGAACAGAGCACCCGCATCCTAAGGCATGAATGAATAAACCAGAACAGATAAGCAGAAACAGAAAGAATAGAATGCAGACCTGTGGTTTTTGGAATGCAGACCTGTACCCCTTATGGTTCGTGTGATTCTCCTTGGACAGGGATACGGGGGTCTTTCAACTATGCCCAGACCAAGTAAAATTGGAGTTTAAATTTTCTTAAGGTAGAAATAGAAAATATTAAGGCAGAATCAGAAGTCAAGAGGAAAAGGCAGCAGAAGACACACACTTTGTAATTAAAATAAATCGGTATGCCATACTAGTCTATACATTTTAATATTTATATAGGAAAAAAATCCTCATAAACCCATTTTGACCTTCAGAAAATTATACAAATTCCTTTTTCTCATTATTTACACACTACCAAATATATACTTAACCATAAATATCGTTGAGCTCCTCATTAAGGAGCTTAAGTCATAGACTCTTAGAGGGTTTGGGATGTAGCTCAATGGTACAGCACTTGTCTAGAAGGTACAAGGCTCTGGGTTCCATACCCAACGTGAAAAAGAAAGAAAGAAAACAAAACAAAAAAAGGAGCTGGGGTTTGTGGCTCACTGGTAGAGTACTTGCCTAGCATGTAAGGCACTGGGTTTAATTCTTAGTACCACATGTAAATAAATAAAATTAAAAATAAAGGCCCATCAATGACTTTAAAAAAATATTTAAAAGAAGAAAAAAGAAAGAAAGAAATTTAAAGTTGCAATTTCCAATAACAGGCCCAAACTATTTATAGCATCACAGATATTTTCAATTCAACAAAAATGAAAATCTGCTTTTTCAGCCACAACAGCAAATACAATTATTATCCCCACCCACAGACTACACTGCATAGAAATAGCAGTAAGGCATCACTACAGCAAGACATCAGGCAGGTACAAAAACACTGTAGGGTATATTGGAAATTATCTCAGAACAACCAGTAAAATAAAATTTTCATACACAAAGGTCACCTTACTGAGAATATGACATTTGAGCAAAGACTTGAGGGAACTAAGAAATAAGCAAACCTACGTGTGTTCAAGACAAGAGCATTTTAATTACAGGAAACTGCTAATGCAAAGATCCTGTGAGGTGGGTGCATGTATAGTATGTTTGAGAAACAGCAAGGAGGTCAGTCAGCATTGCAAGAACAGAGTGAGTACAAGGAAGAGTGGCAGCAGATGGGAGTCAGACAGCGAAATGTTCCGCAGTGGTGTGCTGAAGCCGACAATGGCTGGAGAACAGACTGTTGTACATTCTAGAACTTTGAATCAGCCAGTGTGGGAGTAATCACACTAGAAAAAGAAGAAAATGCTATAAATCAGAGGCCTTGCCTGCTTTTAGAACTCCAGCTTATCATTGTTACCTATAAGTCACTTTATGAATTTTGTCTTTCATTCTGAGTGAGATCAGAAGTTGTTAAAAGTGAGGCCAGGGTTGTGGCTCAGTGGTAGAGCACTTGTCTAGCATGCATGAGGCACTGGGTTCAATCCCAGCATCACATAAAATAAAATAAATGTATTGTATCCATCTATAAATAAAAAAAATTTTTTAAGTTGTTAGAAGAGTCTTTTGCCTGGCATCATCACTTATTGCTGCATTCTGACCATAAGGAAGAAGGAACAAAGCAGGGCAACTAATTTGGAAGCTGTTAATATAACAAGGTAAAATATTTTGGTGGCTTGAACCAAAGTACCTATGGTGAGATAGTGAGAAGTAGTCAAACTCTGGATATAAAAAGATGTTTTGAGTTGAATCAGTATATGGCAATAGTTAACAAGCTTTATGTCTACAAATCAGTAATATCTAACTCTAGCCAGGCAAGGTGGCATGAATCTATAGTTCTAGCTTTTTGGGAGGCTGAGGCAGGAAGACTGCTTGAGCCCAACAGTTCATGGTCAGCCTTGGCAGCACGGTGAGACACTATCTTAAAAAATGATAATGATTATAGCTACATTAATATTAATAATAACTATTAATAATATTATTGTTATTATCATCATCATCATTATTATATCTAACTCTAATCTAAGCATCGCTCTCCTTCTTGGCTCTAAAATAAGATGGATAGCTGGACTTTCATTTCAAGAAGCTCAAAGAACCTAGCCAGGTGTAGTGGTACACATCTATAATCCCAGGTACTCAGGAGGCTAAGACAAGAGTCACAAGCTCAAGGCTAGAAAACTGGGCAATAAGGTGAAATCCCGTTTCAAAAAGATGGTGACAGTGCCAGGCATAATTGTGCATACTTGTAATCCCAGCAGCTCAGGAAGCTGAAGCAGTAGGACATCAAGTTCAAAGCAAACCTCAGCAACTTAGTAAGGGCCTAAGCAATCTAGTGAGTCCCTGTCTCAAAATAAAAAATAATAATAATACAAATTTAAAAAGGGCTAGGGATGTGGCTCAGTGGTTAAGCATCCTCGGGTTCAATCCCTGCTACCCACCCCCACAAAAAGAAGGGAGAGGGAGGAGGAAGAATAAGAAACTCAAAGAACCAAGAAAAAGTCTTTGATGTAGACTGCTATTCAAAATAAATTAAATAAAATCACACATAAACATTGCCATATACAACTTGGAAGTTAGCAAGCAAGCAGCCATTGTTTATCAAAAACATAATCTTTAATATTAAAGATGGATGGGGCTGGGGTTATGGCCCAGTGGTAGAGTGCTCACCTTACACATGCAAGGCCCTGGGTTCAATCCTTAGCACCACATAAAAGTAAATAAGTAAATAAATAAAGTTAAAAAAAAAAGATGGAAATAGAATTGGAATTCAATTATTGAAAGACTTGAATATCAGACTAAGGAGAATTTGCATTAAGTTCTATAAGTAATAGAGAGCTATAGTTTTGAATGGAGAAATGAAATGATGAGTGAGGTTTTATTTATTTATTTTGTGTGTGTGGTACTGAGGGCCTTGGGCATGCTAGGTAAGTGCACTATCACTGAGCTATACCCAAGTCCCTATTAAGTGAGGTTTTAGATAAATCTAGCAAGATGATTACTGGAGAAATACTGAAAGTTGGGGTCGTATTTAAGCAAAAGTCTAGAAACATGTTAAGAATATAAACAAGAGGAGCTGGGGGTGGTGGCACACACCTGTAATTCCAGTAACTCAGGAGGCTGAGGCAAGAGGATTCCAAGTTTGAGGCCAGCCTAGGCAACTCCATGAGAGCCTATCTCAAAAAATAAAAAGGGCTGGGGAAGTGGCTCAGTGGTAGAGCATTCCTAGGTTCATTCCCCAGTACCACCCCCCCCACACACACACACACTTAACATGGGGAGAGTACTGATATTTGGAATGCAAAATGCAAGATAAATGAGATGAGAAAGCCAGATTAAGATTTAGTTAGTAAATCGAAGGGTAAGATACTGAATATTTAAAAAATAGTGATACGAGTTCAAAGCCAGCCTCAGCAATGGCTAAGCAACTCAGTGAGACCCTGTCTTTAAATAAAATACAAAATAGGGCTGGTGATATGGCTCAGTTTTCAAATGCCCCCTGAATTCACTCTAGTTCCAATAAAGAAAAAAAAAATAGCATCAAAAAATGTTAGCTTGACCACTCTAAATATCGCCTTCTCATTTAGTTTTTTTAAATAAAATTAATATTAGAGTTATTATACACTATGTTCTAAAACGTCTTTTAAATATACTCACAAGTCATAGTTTCAGAATTTGGTGTGGTTCAATGCATGCTGCATGCATGTGTGGAGATATCACAGAGAATCAGATTGTATGTACAGTATATATGTATTAATAAAAAATAGATAAAATTTAAATGTATTTCAACTTTGTAATAAGTTCTAGAAGGGAAAATTATGTAAACTCACTTTGACTCTTCAATATGCAAAATTTAAAATAAAGATACAAAATTATGACAAAAAAAATAAAAAAAAATAAATAAATAAAAAATAAAAAATAGTGATAGATGGTAAATGTTATGTGTATTTTACCACAATTTTTTTAAAAGGTGGTATGAAAAGATTACCCAAGAAAATAGAAATGCTAAAATTGATTTTTATCTCCAATAACTGGGTAAACCAAAGGCACCAGTAAGAAAGTCCATTTGGAAAAGGATTCTCTCTATATTCCGTGAAGTAATACCTTAAGTCAAGAGAACATTTAAAATATACAAGGGACAAGACTGAAGCTCATTCACTGACTTAACAAAGACAATCTGCAGGAAGAAGAACATATCACCTTCATGAACACACTAATATACCTAAGTCACAATTACTTGGATTATGGCATTTTACTGTAGTAAAAGAGTGAACGAACATTGTGACTTGGTGATTCTACTTAACACAGACCAAGAAGAAAAAATTCCTCTTCTGAAGCATCAAAAACCTAGGAACAGTAATTTCTAAAAAGCCATAAATACTACCTACTTTATTCATCTTATAACACAAGTAAGACTATAACAGCTCCAGTAATACAATGGCATCCTTCATAACCCTATAATTCTGTCTCCAGTTATTCTAAGACATAAGGTTAATTTGTTTAACTCGTTCTCCATACATCCCTTAAATGTTCACAATGAAATTTTGTGATGTTTTATAATTCCTAATATTATTTAATATATTTGTATACTTTTTTCCTTGAAGAATAATATGCATATGAAAAGTATATACACTTGTGATACTGGCAAAATTATATTGTTTTATTAGGTATTGTGTGCATGTACCAATATCTAACAACAAATCCCATCAGTATGCACCAATTAAAAAATGTGAGGAAAAAAGTATATATGCATGATTATTTTTCACAAGGTGAAAACACCCATGTAACAAGTACATAAATCAAGAAACACAACATTATTAGCATCCCAGTAGCTCCTTCATACCCCATTCCAAACACTTCCCCCAATCCTCACAAGGATAATCAATCTTCTGACTTTTGATACCACAGATTAGTTTTACCTTTTTTTTTTTGAAATTGTCATAAATGAAATTGCAGAGAATATACTATTAGTATCTAGCTTCTTTTGTTCATTATATTTGTAAGATTCACCAATTTTTATATGTAGCTGTAGTTTGTTCATTCTGGCCACTGTTTAATATTCCTTGTGTGATTATGTCACAACTTATTGACCAATTCTACTATTGATAGCTTTTGGAGAATTCCAGTTTGGACTATTAGTCCTTCCATGAACACTTTTATCCATGTCTTTTGATGACTACATACATGCACACAATTATGTTGTGTATAAAATCTAACAATGGAAATGCTGAGTCAGAGGGCAAGCATGTATTCAACTTTAGTAAACAGCTGAAGAACTTTTAAGAAAGAAATATTTTAAGATCTTTATAGTGAAATGTGAATGAGTAATGATTCATTAGAAGGAAGAAAAGTATGTTGAAATAGAATAGTTGATCTACACAGTTCCCAAAAGAGGCAATTTACTTTAGAGTATTTTTACCAGCGATTTAGCATATGACATTTAATAAGAGAAATAATTAAGCTTATCTTCTCTGGAACTGATGATGCTAAAATTTAGAAACAAACAATTGAAGAGCCATTACTATTAATAAGGTAAAGTAACAACTTTCACAACATGTTACAGGAGAATATAAATGTTACAAGTCAGAACTTTGCAGCACTTAAGCCTGTACTTTTTTAAACCAAATCTTGGAAACTGAAGAAGACCTCAGAACTAATCTAACCTTCAAGTAATAATAGAACTGCTTTCTACCTCAATGAACATGCTAATAAAACTTGATTTATCAATCCCAAAAGAAAAGAAAGGAGGAAATCATTTGACCCTAGAATTGAGAAGGCAATATGAAGTAATCTGAATCAAGTATTATTTTACTTAATAAAAATAATATATCAAGACTGGTTCATAATAAATTGTAATAAATATGCCATAGCATTGTGAGACGCTAATAACAGGAAAGGTAGGGGGTATAGAAACTGTGTACTACCTTTACTATCTGTAAGTCTAAAACTGTTCTAAAATAAAATGTATTTATAAATGTCCATTTAAACCCATACAACACAAACTGCAGATTATAATGCACCTGCTAAACTCATTCAGAATGCAATCCTGATAAACTTTAAAAGCTTGCGGGCGCTCTCTCTCTCTCTCTCTCTCTCTCTC